AGGTGCCTGAGGGTGAGATGCAGTAGGCGCAGCAGGTATTGGAGGGGGAGGAAGGCTTGGCATCCTTGGAGGGATTATGCTGTCAGCACCTGGCACGTGGTCGGTGCTCAATAAATATTTACTGAATGAATCAGTTTTCCAGTTTCAAAATGTGTCCCGGGAAGCACGGGCCCCAGGGGATGCCTCGCGAGAGGAGACTTGGGAGCTGAGCCTGGAAAACGCGAGTCCGCTCTCACGCTTGGAGGTGAACGTGGGTCCCCCGAGGGCTCTGCGAAGCCCCATGAGAGAGAAGCCGCTGCTTTTCTGTGCAATACACTTCCCCAGCGTGTCTGACGCTGTGGACCCTCCCCTCCCCGTTTTTCTCGTGATTCTTGTGCCTGGGAGGAAGCCCTGGACACGGGGACCCTCCCGGGTCTGGTGTTCCAGTTGCCATCACTAGCGCTCAGCTTCTCGGGGCTCAGGCCCCCCGACTTGTAAGATGGAGGTGCTGCCCCAGGCTGAGTGAGGTGCTGCAGGAGGAGGGGCCGAACAGGGGGGCCGAGCAGACACAGCCCCGGCCGGTCTCCGGCCAGAGGCCACACGGGGGGCGGGGGGGTGGTGTCCCCGGGCACGCGTGTTTCCACAGGGAGAACGGGTTTCACAAGTTGGACTGTCCTCAGCCCAGGTTTGGGGGCAGGGCGTCAGCACTAACTCTAAACCAGATCGCTAACGAGGCACTAACCAGAGGCTAACAAGGGCTAAGCCAGGTCTTAAACCCCCCAGCGCCAGCAGCCCAGGGTCCCGGGAGCCGGGGGCAGCGTCGAGTTCCTCTGCCCCCCTCCCTCCCCAAAATAAGCAAAACCAAAACCGAAGTTAAATCTAAACTTAAACATAATAAATATCTTTTCTAAAAACCAAACCAAAGCAACAAACTCAGAGGGTTAAACCGACCCCCAGATCCATTAAAATCAAAGGAACAGCAGAAGCCCACCCCGGTGGGAGCTTGGAGGGGTAGCCGCTGAGTGAGGAGTGACTTGGAGCTGGAGCGGTTTGCTTTCTGGCTGTCAGCGAGCGAAGAAAGGTCCCTTTAACGTTTTCCATCTCTGTGCTTGCACGTCCTGGCGGGGAGGCCTCTGCGCTCCAGGGCGATCCGGGCGGGGCAGTGGCTGGGCCTCGGGAGGAGAGCGGGAGCCTGGCCAGAGGTCTGCGGGCCTGGCAGTGGCTGGGAGGGCAGAGTGAGGTCCTGGCGGCTCCT